TCTGGGTCCGTCCACGGTGGACCGGTCTCTGCTGGAGGATCTGGGTCTGTACTTTGGTACTTCTCACCACGGCTTATTAAAAAGGCTTTGTGCCAAACTTGCCACACACATCCATTGAGTCATATTTTTGAGTTATCTCACTGATCTTTGTCACTAATGAGACTCAGATCTGAGCAGGACCGTGTTTCTGTGTTCCTCTTTCTCTCTGAAGTCTTCTCATCAACCTTAGCAGCCATTACATTTCCTCTACAGATCAAAAGGACTTTCATTCATAAATAAAATAATGAAGCATAACCGAGTACCTTCATGGAGCTCTTTCCGTAGTTTCTCTGCATCTTCCTGCAGGACGGACTTCTGAGTGTTCAACACGGCGACGTACATCTCCAGGTCCGTACGACACGACTTCTCCGCCTCCAGAACGTGGTTGAGCTCCTTCACCTGGAAAAGAGTTAATATAATATAATATATATTTATATAATAGTTATTATAAGAGTTACTGTGACTGCAGAAGGAGAGACAGGAAGCTGCATTATTTCATATTCCGCAAACGTTAGCATCTGTTAGGAGTTCAGAGATGAATAGAAGTCCAACATTCACTCTCCTGTTAGCTCCGCTTTCATTTCCGTCACCTCTTGAGGGAAATGATCCGACTCTTTAGCTGCTAAATGCTCCACTTTCTGCACCAGCTTGTTGCTGACTGCGTCTGTCTGCCGGCGGCGTACAAGGTTTTTTACTATTTATGCATTTATAAAACAAAACAATGAGCTGGAGGGGAACTGTATTCTCTGTGGTGTTATCCCGACATGTGACCCCTTTAACATGACACATAACGATCAGATCAATATGAGAGTATGAGTAGCTGCTGACTCACCTTGGAGGCCTCCAGCTCCCTCACCCGGTCCTCAGCTGTGGTCAGTTTGGCTTTCAGGGCTGCGATCTCGCGCTCCATGGGCATCACCACTGAACGCAGCTTCTCTGCATCCTCCTGCGCCTTTAAAGGGGGTTAAACACTCATTAAAAAAATGTAAAACACACGTACAGCTACGCAACAAGTCACGGGTTTGTATAGAAACTGCATTTTAGTTTGTAGACATTATCCATTGCAAACTAAAAAGGTGATTTTATACTGGTTGTAAATTAACACAAAGGCTTGAAAGTAGCCCTCAAAGTTCAAAGGTTCGTTCAACAGTGATGTCACGGTGTCCTGGAGTACACCTGTGCATCACTGCAGTGAGGCGAGAAGTTAAACCACGAGAAGATCAGCAAAAACAAGACTTTCTGGTGGCGTTAAAGGAAAAGTTCACCCAAAAAACAATATAGATTGTATACAGCACTCGCCTCCCGAGGCTTTAAATGGTCCAATTAAATAGCATTAAGGAGCATTTTTGCACGTTCTCTAAAACATAAAAATACATCTATATACAGAGTTAAAGTACAACGGTAAGCCTACTTTTTTCATTTCGTCCTCCAGGTTCTCCTCCTCCTGACCCTCGGTGAGGCGGCGTCTCAGCTCAGCCAGTTCTCTCTCCACGGACTCCCGGTACTGGTTCCACTGGGCTCGCTCCTGGTCCAGACGCTGGTGGAACTGGACCTCGTACTCGCACACAGTCTCTGGTCGGACGACAAAGAGAAGAGGAACGCAGAAAATGAAACAGTGAGACTCTTAAGAAAACCTCTATTTCTGCTTTGTACTTGTTGTGGAAGTCTCGGATAACACGGGAAACTAAACGTCTTCTTGTCTGAGTTTATAACATCATCTGGAGGAGTATTCCCTGTGTCTAGCTGGTTTACTACAGCAGTTTGAACCCAAAATAAACAGATTTTGCTTTGATTTAACTGCAATAAACAGACAAAAAGGCACTCCGAAATAACTACATAATGATGCCGATTTGTAAAAAGTCTGAATTCCTGTTTTGTTAGTTCTCTCCGCAAGACGACAAGCAAATAACTTTTAAAATACTTGTTTTCTCGATGGAGCTCCAATCGATCGGTGCTATTCTAAGCTAACATTGTAGCAGCTCCATCAACACTCAACATAACGTCACCTTGGTGTAAATACGTCAGCGTCTATTCATTGTTTGTACCATATGGTTTACACACAAACATTTATACACATAGTTTGGTCCGGTCTCTACGAATATGAGGTATCGTAGAGCTCTGGGTGAACACGGACAGTATTTTATCCTGATTCAACAACGGCAGGACGTCAGTGATGACAGGAGGAGCCGCCCGGCGCAAATTTGTGTCTATTCGCGTCTCTGTATGTACGTCTCTGACTCTGTATGTAATCTACTGGTTTTTACCTTTCATGATGACCTGCAGCGAGGCCACCTCCTCCTGCCACTGGCTGCGGACCTGGTCGACGGCTTCCTGCCTGGTGTTCTCCGACAAGGTGGCGACAGTCTTGATGGTCTCCATCTCGCTCCGGACCCGAGACAGCTGGTCCAGGACGGAGCTCAGCTCGAGCTGGGCGCCCTCCAGCACCACGTTCTGCCTCTTCAGCTCCTCTGGGGGGGAAAGGAACGAGGAGGTGAAGGTAAAGCAGCGTTGTGTACGGCGTTATCGTCCATGTTTCAGTGTGAACGGAGGTGGTATCCTCACCTTCCTTGGACACGTAGAGCTCTTTGAACTTGGCTCGCTTCTGGTTGAACTCGGCCTCCAGCTGCTGCTTGAGTTTGATGAACTCGGCCCTCTCCTGCTCCAGAGCGGCCACTCGCTGCTGGAGCACCTCTGAATGACGGAGAAGATTCAAAATGTTCAAAGTAACACAAGGGTGATTAACTGATGTATAAATTATAATTTTGTGAATGAAGTACTCCCTTAAGTCTGCAAAATCTTTTATGATGCAGACACAATAAATCTTTACTGCTTTCTTCTTCTGGAAATCATCTCACAACCCCTGAGATGTGACATGTGGACCTTCAGCAGGTCTGAGAACCGCAACATCAAACTGTACTCACCAAATTAAATTGAGATCTAAAGCGGCTTTAGACTTTTCCTTTGTTACACGCTGACTCCTTTAAGGAGGTTTATGGACGTAGTTACACATTAATAAAACAAAAGAATCAGGTATCAAGTCAGTGGTCAGCAAAACGTGTTTCCCAGTTACAGGAAACCAATAAATAAATATGAGTAAACAATCACACTCCTAAAGGTATCCAGAGTTATTTTAACAAACGTAAGGAGATTGGTTTACTCTAGTGTTGAATGATAAGCATTGTTTAATAGAAATAATAAACACATTCTCTGTAGAGTCCATACTTATCTATGCAGTATCAGGTTATTTAATACTCTTCTTAAACAAACACTCCAAAGTCTAAACTGATGAGCAAAAGTCTTCCAAACTGGCTTGAAGTCACATGTTGTTGTTTCCTACATCTAGCGCCGCTTTACATCTTATCTTTTTCCTTTCTTATCCAAAACCAGAGAGTCAACGATACCCTCAAACACAGACGACCGATGGAAACAAACACAAGCAGCTCAACTCCACGACGATCATGTGACAGCTGAACGGACTCTAAAGCAGGAATTCCTTCACACATAATCTCAACACACATTCACATTGTTGGCTTCTCGGTGGATTTATGCAGACAGCATGTCGAGCTCTTTTGCACGTTAACTCAAAGAACACAGAGAACTCCTGCATTTGCTTTTCGGAATGCACAAAGATCGCTGTGTAAACAGAGCCAGTAATTATTAACCAAACAACAATCAATTCACTGAAGATGCAAAGTGAGAGGAAGCTCAAACTCACTCCACTTTTCAGCCGTCACACAAACGTGTAACATCTAGAATCTGTAAGGTGAATTAACGGTGAACACAGCAAATAAAAGAAGCCCAGCAAACAAAAGTATAAAGAGGCTTCAGAGATTATTAGAGAACGTAAACAGGGACGATATCTAACACTTTAGTGGATCAAGACCTGACTTTACCTCTGAGCACTGAGGTGAGGTTCTATTATACGCAATACAAAAAGACTGCATGCTATAAACCCGACACTTACTGCCCGATCACCTGATAAAGAAGAGCAGCTTCTAATTACTTTATGATTCGTTTCACCTTTCACACAGAACGGCACAAGTATGTATATCGATATAAGTGAAAGACCTTCCCTAATTATCCAAACGTACAACATTAATAGCAATATTTCAGATAATCTTACATTTTAAATTGAACGATCAGAGTGTTTATAGTCAATCAATCTTTGAAGACCAATAACCGAAAACATCCTCATAACCTGTATTACACTATAATAAAACCATTACAACGTGCTCTGTTTCCAAATATTGATTGTAATGACCCCAATAAAAAACATATATGTTTCATTTCACTTTAGGTTTGTCAGGTCTCATCTACTTCTTACACTAAATCACACACTGACACTCTCTTGGACAAAACTTTGTCAAATGGAGGAATTGTACATGAAAATGTTTTGTAAACCCTGAAACTAATAAACAAAGATTGACTGGCAGAGAGAGCGTTCTAATGCTTTAAGTAGTTTTCAAAAAGTCACCTGTACGTCACATTATTGGGTTCTCTCGTGTTTCCATGTCAGTGAAACTGCAAAATGAAAATAGGATTTATTTTAATCCTAAATGATGCAAATGGAAAAATCTTTATTGCTAAAGCCAGAGTTAAGTGTGGGAAGTGAAACCTATGAATACAATTAATAAAACAACGTTGCCTACATCTAAACACCTCCCATAATTATGCATAATTTCTATACCTGCAAATCGTAGCATTGACTGCAACGGTTCTACAAAATAAAATAAAAAATAGATCAGCACTCAAAGCTCAACAGCACAGATTATCCTGCAGGATCCCAAGATGGTCCCCGGCCCCCTGTTTGAGAACCCTCCTGCAGGATCAACCTCCTGTATTATGGTCCAACCCCTGAGAGTGCAGGCCACACACAGCACATCGTAATGCACCGATATAATCCATAAAATCCATGTTGAAGAGGCCGACCTTTAGAGCATATTAGTCAAGACTAGCTTTAGCTAACAGCTAACCAGCTGTAGTGGTAAAGACAACGTTAGCTTGGTTAGTTATTATATATTAGGATGAATTACCACAGCTGCTATGTGTAGTAAAGCTTCAGTAAACTTCCCACAAACTAGTTCCAAGTTGACATGTAAATGCGCCAACTGCGTAGTGTTATATGTTCCAAAACAAGCCAGTGACACGTCGCCCATGATGATGCTAACTGAGCTAAGCTAATGTTGTCATGGATGCACAGAGTGGGCCGCTGCTGGCTTCGGTGCTCGCAAAGCTCTCAACAACACACTAAAACAAACAAACAAACTACAAAAACAACACGTTTACCGTCATGTTGGGACGACAGAGGAGGTCCCGAGGCCTGCTCGGCCATGGTTTTGGGTTTTTTGAAGCAATTACCAGGGAAGTTAAGGAATAAGCGCTAGGAGTGTCCAAGAAAACAGGCTAACATCACAACTAGTGGTCAAGCTACCCAGCGAGAGTGGGAAGAGTGTGTGTTCCGGTAAGACCTTCAAAATAAAATCGTCACAGCTAGACAACGCCCAATTTGACGCGTAACGTTTACGATTTATCAAAAAACAAATGGCATAACAGATAAGTTAATTTTAATGACTTGTTTAGCAATACTACCGTTGTACAGCCACATATATATAATCCTCATAATGGGGGTTTTCAAGAATACATTTTTTTGTGCTAATATATTGATTGCAAACTGCCCATTTCCTGTTTACTAAATTTAGCTAACTTGCGTGATTCCGGTTTTACCTTTCAAAATAAAATCATTCACACTTTTTTTTTAATGAAGTATCAAGTTCCACATTCAAATGTAGGTTATCTATCTTTGATTGAAAAAAAATATTATAATAATTGAAAAAGACAGCGGCCTTTAATCTAGTTCCCCAAGCCGCCATGGTTATAAAAGGAATGTAACATGAGGCTGATTTAAGAGGAACTGAAAATATAAAGAGACTTGGAAATGGATGCAATGCTCTGGCTTTGACGTAAACTCTCACAAGACATTGACATCACTGCATATTCTCAACGGGAAATGGATGCATCAAATATTGGTTTAACATCACAGAGACTAAGGAGTATAATTTCCCACAAAAAAATCAAACTTCAAGTCTTCACGCAGATATAAAAATGTGGCATTTGATTCTCCCAGAGACACGCGTACACACACACGCACACACACACGCACACACTGTAGTCACTGGAGCATGGCAGAGGGTGGGGAGGGGATATTCCTGTCTCAGCCTTCAAATTTCTTTGGTTAACTAAGGAAATTAGAAACTGCCATGCAAATACAACACATGATGACACATTGTCATATTTTGCCATCAACTTACTGAGACGTTTCAACCCACTTTAACAGCCCTGAAGACATCAGCTGTTCGCTGAAAGGTAAGGAACATTCGGAGAATTTTGAATGAAGAAGTTGATGTTCGATAAAATAACATTTTGGACTTGAATGAACCCTAAAAACCCAGGTCTATGACCAAATTATTCATAATAAATAGTTGTGTTGTTGTTTAAGATAAAACTTTTATGTGCATCTATGTGTGATAAAATATCACAATAATCCAGCTACACTTTCTTCTGAAGCAGCAGTATTTGTCAGACTTGTTGACAGGAAGCTGTTGTAAAGAGGATATGGAGGTGTACAGATAAACGAAAAAAATGGTATTTATTTCAACCTGTTCATGTCGATAAGGGAATATAAATGCATCTTTTTAGCTGACATACACAATTAAGTTGAAAAAATGAGGTCATGTCAAGTACAGGCACAGACGCCTCAGCCGAACAAAAGCTTTTGTTCACATTTTTGAGAGATTACTTCACAAGTAAAAAAAGTCCCTAGAGATGACTGAGAGGCTTGTTTGATTCTCAGAATGCTAACATAAACACCAAAATAACCTTAAGACTTAGTCAACGCACAAAAAGGGGAAGTGAATGTTCTTCTTTCCGATCCTCAGTTCTGTATACTGAAAAGCAACAAGTCAGATGTCCTCTTGTTTTGAAGAATCTGTTTTCTGACAGCTTTAAAACTGATTTTATTTTGTTGTGTCAAGCAGAGGGCCCATGGATTTTTTACACAAATTCTGGTTGTTGGTGATCATTGTGATTATTTTTGCGTGGCTTGTGATCATCCTCCTCTTCATCTTCATCAACAAGTGCTTATCAAGAGCAGGTAGGTTGAACCTCTGCCCACACACATGTATAGGTTGAATGTGGCAAAATGTTTGCTTCTATTTAGACCGTCAAAGGGAAAGAAAATGTACAGAACATGTTAAATATAATGCAAACTACTTTGTTATGGGAGTGTGTTTTCCTATGGGGAAATTTTAAATAATGACCTCAGTATTGATAAAATTACCATAAAAAACCATTAGCCTATATGGTATTAATCTTATATAACTTTATACAGACAAATATTAACAGTGCTGGATGAAGTATTCAGATACTTGCAAGTACTAAAACCACACTATGGAAATACTCCATTACAAGTAAAAGTCCTGCATTCAAAACCTAATGTAAGTATTATCAGCAAAGTTTACTTTAAGTATGAAATGTGACATGTTCACTGTCAGTTTTTTAGTATTATTTGTGTTTCTGGATTAATATTACTGCTGCATTGATATGTATGTTGAATATTACTGCTGTAGATGTTTTTAACTCCTTTATATAAATGCATCATATTCTATAAGATCATCATGTGTTTGTAGCGTCTCTGTCCTGTGAGAACCACGTATCTCTAAAAAGAACAAATAGCCTGTTTTCAGCTTTGTGATGATGCGTTTTCCAGCTGATCCAAGAGGCTTTTCAAAAAGTTTATTTATCTTAAGAAGTACAATATTTACCTCTGAGATTGAGTGCAGTAGAAGTACAAAATAGGCACATGTACAACACATGATGTATATAGTACAAAATGTGCATTATAAGACAAGAAGAACTGAATAAACAGTAAACAATTGATCCTATTTTCCCCATTGAAATAGAAGGTATTTACAGTCAGACTTTGTTTACTCAGCTACCAGTGTTTATCAGTGACAGCTGCCCACAATAAGTGCTTATTTTCCAGTATAGTCATTGTGTGTTGGTGGACAGTGTGTTCTCTCAGAGTGAGACAAGAGTGATAAACTGTTAATACACTGCACAAACCAGCAGTATATTATGTGTAATCCTCAGTAGCATATGTTAGTGGGAAGTGAAACACAAATGATAAGATGACATAAGCCAGTAGCCTGGTGGAAGAAATACTCAGATCCTTTACTTAAGTGACATTGAACTGTAAAAGTTGCAATACTTTAATATAAAAATGTTATGTTATAAGTCAACCCCCTACGTTGAAAAACTATATGTAAGTATTATCATCATCAAAATTAAAAGTAAGAGTTTAATGTTGAAAAATGGTCCCAGTGAGTGTTAGTAATAGAATAGGAGTAGAAAGGAGATTCACATTCAAATCAACGTAGCAGGACGTTCAGAGCGGCGGCCATTTCTATGTGTACCGTTGCCATTACGACCATTTTAACATGCTAACTTCTGTACAAATTAAACCGACTTATGGCAAGTCACAGACTAAAACGAGCAATGGAGTTGTAACGTTATGAAGCATAAATAAATTAAATTAAACAACTTAATACTTCATACAAACACTCTTTTCACAGCCAGCACTAGCACCAGCCACTAGTTGTACGCTAGTTCACTAGCTTGCTCATTCCGCCATGCTTAAATGCTACACTAGTACAAGCTAGCTAACTAGCCAGCTGTACACTAGTTAGCTAGCTTGCATATTATCCCATGTTTCACCATAACAACAATCGCCATTTTCTTTTGCAGAAGTCAAATGACCATGGTAAATAGTTCAATGTCCGTTCTACTACTATTCTATTGCTATGGATTTAGCATTAGCATTTTAGAAATTTACTGTTGTAGTTGGAACTCATTTTAAAGTTTTTTTGGATGGTTTTATCTCTTCATAAATGTATGAAATTCTAATATGTAATGTAACTAATGCTATGAAAAATGTAGTGAAGTAAAAAGTACTAAGTCAATATTTCCCTCTGAGTTGTAGAACTGTATTGAGGCCTTCATGGTCACATGGAATTTTAAGTAAATGTTGAATTTACAGTGAAAAGAAGTGAGTGTCAGATGTAACTTTCATTTTCAATATCATTAACTGCCAGTTTTTTTAAACTAAAAAAACAATATCCTGTATTACCACAAATGAAAAGCCAGAACAGGAAGAGAAACCAAACACAAAACACACTGGCATTATGACTATGAAAGTATTACTCTGAGAGGTTTGCTGCAAAGCCGAAGAAAAACTATTATAATTGTATGAATTGCTGTTATTAGTGGTGCCTTCTGGATTTGATTAGCTTAGATGAAACTTTAATGATCCCTGAGGGAAACTGGGCTGCAGTGGCAGAGAGAGCGGCTCAGTGATGGCTTAGGTTGAGCATAAACACAGAAGAAATAAAGGAAACAAAATATAACTCATAATCACAGGTAAAAGCACATATGGATACAAAAGAGGATTATGAAAACATGAACACTGTTTGTATATAGATCTAGATATAAACATGATTTAATGTGCAAATGTTTATTGTTAAGTTTTTCGAATGATTTTGTCCTAGAGCCTAAAGCAAATAAAGAACCTGATATTAACAAATCCTGTTTATTTTTGTCCTCATTTCTAACAACGTGATCCTGCATTCCCCAAAATAACAACCCTCTGTCTTTCATAATGCTCAAAGATTTGACCAACCTTTTGACTTTTTATTATAGACTTTTCTTTTTCCTGAATTGCTTAAATTTAACGGCACTCTCTTTTTGTTTTTCCAAAGGAAAACACAGAATCATCCAGTTTCCCAGAAAATCTTCGGACTTCACTGTCAAGTATGAATATTCACTCTTTTTCTCACATTTTATGTTGTATACATTCAGCCTAAATGTACTGTATAAAGGAAACGTTTCACATTTAAGGAGATGCACTTATTCACTTTGTTTGCCGAGCATTAGATGAGAAGATTGATACGTAACGTATATTTGTCGGTTCAATAAGAAGTGGTTAGCTTAGCTTAGCAAAAAGACTGGAAATAGGGGGGAAAGCTAGCATGGCTCTGTAAAAAGTTAGTTATTTTATTTTATCCAAAACTAAAGTGTAAAAACATGAGAACCCCACCTGGAACCCTCACAGAGGGTTCTACCTCAAACCCAACATAAAAGGTTATACCTACAACCATCTGTGAAAGATTCCACCCTGTGCCCCAAATGAGAAGTTCTACAGAGAACCCTTCTATGGTGTAATGGTTCCAACCTGAACCCTCTTTGGAGGTTCTATCCAGAATCTTTCCTCCATTTTAGGGTGCCACCAAGAGCCCACCCGGGTTGTTCTATCGAGCACTCTTTTATATTCCAGGGGTTTTATCTAGAACCCAACCCAGAGATTCAACCAAGAACCCTTTTACATTCCAAGGGTTTCATCTAGA